ATTGATAAACTGCTGGCAACCGGTTTTAAGCGGCAGCAGGAAGTACGTGCAGCGAGCTTGGAAGATGTTTTTCTGAACCTGACGGGTAAAGAGTTGCGGGAGAATTGAGCAGGATTTTAAAATCTAGTGTGGTTAGTTACGTGGGTTAAGCTAAGTCGCTGATGGCAGCTTCGAGGGCATTACAAATGCCCACCCAGATTGCGCGGGATTAAAAAAAATCCCGCGCGGTCTCACAGTCCTTTATCCTCTTCATTGCTTTAGGCCCAATGAGCCCGGCAGCACCGTTGTTCGATGTGTTCCGCAGGGGCACTTCGAACTCATAATAAAAGCCCGTTTGTAACGGGCTCAATGATTACGCAGGATTTTCAACTCCTGCGTGGTCGCTTTTGCGCGCGACTACCGCCTCTTTTGCTTCACCCCCAATGAGCCCGGCAGCGCATATACCAGGCTATTGCCTGCTGCGTTCCTCGTGTTTTTGACGGCCGTATTATCCATCATCGGGCCCCCAGAAGCCTGTTTCCTTCCCTGTTCGATACTTTTTTGTTGTGTCGGTGCCTGCTCTCTTTTTTTGTTCTGTATATCAAAGGCGCCTTCGCGATCAATGACCTTGCTGTTGGGCCTCAGGACTGACCTGGCAATGAACTGTTGTATCTGAGTCAGTAAATCCATACAGGAGCGTTGCTACGTTTAACCCGGTTTCATAAGACCCTGAGTAAAGTTTATCCCTGAAATTGAGGTTATATCCCATTTTTTTGATGACTTGAATCTTAATTGCAAACTTTATTTTGATTTTTCGTTGTACGTTATGAATATATATACGGATGGAATAATAAAAGAACCCTTTGAAAAGAATCTATACCTATAAAATTGAATTTTTAACCAATAAAAACATGAAATGGGAAATAACGAACATTTAAATTCTGCTTCTATTCTGGGAATCTGGCAGGGAAAGTGGGGATCTGGCAATGAAACGCCACAATATGACTATACCATTATATTTGAAAAAGATGGGAAGATGCAGGTATTTAATGGGACCGATGTTGCTAAATCACCCAAGGCTGCAGGAGAATATCATTTAGATGGTTTCATAATCGAAGGTAAATATACTTATGAAGGCAGGACAGATATAGTAAGTATAACACTAAAATTGAATGATACATTTACTGAAATTGATGGGACATGGAATGGAGGGAGTGTTCGCTTGTCTAAAACAGACAAGAAGCTGGCAGATACTACTTTTTACCTAGCGTTGTTGGGACGTCAAGGCATTTTAGAGTTCGACAGTCCGGTGACATCGCAACCTAAATCAGCTAATTTGAAATTGGTTATTCCCAATCTCACTACAAATACGCTGCAGGAAACAAACTATCTTATTACTGATGGCTCATGGAGCGGTGGTATATTTACAGGAATTATTGTATCAGAAACTCAGCCATCAATCCCGGTTCAATTACCCGGTTTAAGGTCTGGATTTAACAAGATAAAGCTGAAGCTTACAACTGGCACTTATGATTTAATAGGTGCTATTTGTTATTCAACGGATACATGGGTTTCAGGAAGCAGTGTTATAATAGGCAATAAAAAGCAGTTTGAAACCGC